TTTTTCTTTTGTTCCTGTACACTCTAAAATCAAGGGAGTGTATGGAGAGATAGGTTCTCTATAGTATAGAGAATCACTTGCCTGGTTGGTAGAAGGGTTTGGAGAGTTTAGATCTGGCCAGTTGTTGCCAAGAAGTGATGYTGTCTTGCTGCTGCCCGAAACCCTAGCCGACTAGAGATTTTCAAGTTACCAGGAAAAGTGAAGCTTGGGTGTGGCGCTYTGTGCTTGGAAGGTGTCTTGTGACTACTAAAGGAGGGTGGTTCAGGTTTGGAAGAGTTTGGGTTACTCTGGTAGGTGCGGCTGTGTCTTCTCTCTCCCGCTCATCCGCTGGACGGAACAAAACCCTAGTTTTTCAAGCACCCAAGTTTTGGTTTGACTTCAAGTAAGTTCACATAGTCAATTTTTTCTGTTTTTTTATTTCCGTTTGATTAATGGAGGCATATGGAAGTGAGTTCAAGCAGGTGCCAGCTTCTGGACCTGCTCTAGTAGATTCCGTTTTGACGGGTGTTACCACAATTAAGCTAGATGGGACAAACTATCTTGCTTGGGCACAATCTATAAAAATCTATGCTTGTAGTAGAGGAAAACTTGGRTATCTCACAGGCAGCAAGGTGAAACCCGAAGAGGCAGACCCTGAGTTTGAAAGATGGATGCAAGAGAACTATACCGTTATAGGATGGTTAGTCAACTCTATGCAACCTCATATAAGCCAGCACTATCTCTGGATGTCTTCRGCTAWGGAGATATGGGAYAGTGTAAMTGAGACCTATTCACAGAAACTGAATGTAGCCAGAGCATACAAATTGAAAAGTGATGTGAAGAACCTGAGACAGGGGGAGAAGAGTGTGGCAATCTATTACTCCATACTAAAGTCCCTATGGCAAGAAATTGATGTTATGGAATCAATGGTATGGGAGAGTAAAAAGAATGTTGAAATGTATAGAAAGCTAGTGGAGAGAAATAGGGTGTTTGAGTTTCTCACTGGACTCAACCCTGAGTTTGATATTATCAAACAGAACATTTTGGCCAGGGAGGAGGTTACTCTTTCACAGGCATATGCTATGATCAATAGTGAGGAGAGTAAGCGGCAGGTGCAGATGCAGAGTCCATCTATAGAACATTTTGCACATGCATGAATGAAACCGAAGGGCCCTACTGAGAAAAGAGAGTAGTTGTGTGAATATTGCAAGAAACCACGTCATACAAAGGACACCTGCTGGAAGCTTCATCTTGAACTTCTTCCAGATAGGTTTAAGAACAATAATAACCCTAAGAATGGCAATCAGGTGGGAAAATCCAAGACTGCTAATGCTGCTACAGTGCCTGAGGGGGGAAGTAAGGAAAGTGAAGAAAAATCAACTATTGAGCATTTGGCTGCAATGAAACTGGATTTTGAGAAGTATGGGAGGCTCCTAAATCACCTGGAAGCTACGGTGTCTTCAACTCACCCTTCCAACAGTACGTCATCTTCATCGGCTTTTGCTCACTCAGGTACATATGCCTCAGCAAATCATGCTTCAGCTTCAGGTAATCATAAACTCCCTTGGATTATAGATTCCGGTGCATCAGACCATATGACCAGCCTATCTAACCTTTTTTGTTCATACCATCTCTCTGGGAAAGAGAAAATATCCTTGGCCGATGGGTCACTTGCCCCCATCTCTGGTAAAGGAGATATAAAGACCTCTGACACCTTGTTCTTTATCTTATGTTCTCCACGTTCCTAAGTTTAATACAAACATTTTATTTGTTAGTAGCTTAACAAAGTCCATGAACTGCAGCATAACCTTCTTTCCAACTTATTGTGTTTTTCAAGACCTACAGTCTCAGAGGACGATTGGAAGTGGCCATGAGGCGAACGGAATATACCTGCTGGACACACTAGATCAAACCTTGGGATCACCTCATGGAGTTGCTTTAGAGTCAGTGGTGTCAGAGTCTGTTAACAAAATTCTGCTATGTCATTTTCCGTTTGGTCATTTGTCTTTTTCTGCTTTAAGACATTTGTTCCCAAATATGTTTAAAGGAGTGTCTTTATCTAGTCTTCATTGTGAGTCATGTGAGCTAGCAAAGCATTGTAGACATTCTTATTCAATCAGTAATAAAAGATCTTTTTCTCCTTTCCATATTGTTCATTCTGATGTGTGGGAGCCATATCACATGCCAACCATGGGGGGCTACCGGTACTTTATCCTTTTTATTGATGATTATTCTCGTTATACTTGGGTTTATCTCATGAAATCCCAGGATGAAGTACCAATCATTGTGAAAAATTTTCATGAACTCATCCTCACCCAGTTTAATACCCGTATCAAAATATTCCGCTCTGACAATGCTAAGGAGTATTTTGAGAAAACCCTCTCCACCTACCTTGAAACTTTTGGGGTTATT